TGGGGCTGTGGGTAAAGCAGCGCCGCCGAGGGCACCTGTGTTAACTACGTCTTAGGTAATAAGCCCTAAATCATATTAAAAACTTAGATATTGGTCCCACTTCGCAACTAGAAATTATGGAATCATTGTTTCATAGAATGGTTGGAAGAGACCTTAAAGATCAGCTCATTTCAACCCTCCTCCCCACCCTGTCATGAGGAGGGAACCTTCCACTAGAGCAGGTATATAAAATGGTTAGAGAGGCCACGGCTGAACAGTTACTGCTTTTCAACAATGGTGCTGAATTAATTTTCTGGAAGAAATGTAGGTTGGAACTATTTTTTAGTTGCAGTTATGGCCTGGAAGGCGCTGAACTGCATTATTGAACCCTCAGACACAGAGTATCAGTCAGTGTTACCAGGGTTTTAAATTCTATTGCTCTCTAACAGGGTCAGTGGTGCTGTCTTGTACTGTGGAGAGTGACACGTCTGAGCAGCCACGTACAAATCAAACATACAAATCAAACATACAGCCTTACCACCATGCCTGCCCAGCCTTGCTGATCTCTCCTTTCAGCTATCACTAGACAGAAGACCAGAGATGTTCAAGGTCAGGCTGGATGGAACTCTGAGCAACTTGGTCTAGTGGGAGTTGTCCATGCCCATGGCAGAGGGGTTGGAACTATATGATCTTTGGGGTCACTTCCAACCCAAATCATTCTATCATTTTCTGATTCTATGATTTAATTCAACTGCTTTTAATCCAGTTTAAGTGAACAGTGCTTGCCACAGGTAACAGCCTTAACTACAGTAGATCTTTCTGGCCACTAATTACACTTTCCAGCATAATAATGAAAATAGAGGCAGTTAGGAATCAGGTTACATTGTCTCAAATGCCCCTAAAGATTCTAAGGAACTTTTTGTCTCCAAATTGCAAGTATTTTCTTGCCGTATTGGGACTTGTAGTATTAAAATAAATTCTTGCTTCAGTATTAAACTGACAGAGAGGAATCCTGTATCACTGAGGCTCACATGCCTGGAGTCACAGAAGGGGAGGAAATCAGCTCTGTAGTGGAGCTTACTGTGCTCAGCTAGAGATAGTGGCAGGAGAGGGAAACAGCCAAATAATAGCTGGCATTAAATTTTAATTTCCCCTCTGTGAGAACACTCCTCATGGGCTGAGCCTTCTAGGGTCTGGTCTCCAGTTTTTCAAACAAGGAATCCAGTTATGGGAAATGTTTACATGTAGGAGAACCCGAGGCTGGTAATAGCAGCCAAAGGCTGTAGCATGGGAATTGGGAAAGAAGGCTGAGGAAGGCAGCCAGCTCCTCCAACAGGAAGCTTCCCCAACATTGCTTTTCTGGCCCACATGTTAAAAAATAGAAATCTTTCAGTGAACTTAAATAACTATATATTAATCTCATCCTTAACCTGCACAAATTACAATTAAACCTATGCATGGCTTACTTATTCAGAATGAGAATCCTGTGAAATTACTTGGGAGCTGTACAATAATCAGCACACAACTGAGCGTGTTAACACAGACACAGGGCCTTGGTCGTGCCAGATGTGGCACCGGCTTCCCTTTGGCAATGCTTACTAGTTGCTTTGGAATTTGCTGCCAAGTATGCATCTACTCCTACAAAGTGCTGAGGCCTTTCTAAAGCGTTTGAGAGTGGAGACTGAACCTTTTGGAGCCTGTGTGTTGTTACAGAAAGTTGATCATTTAAACCTCAGATACTGGATAAAGAAAATCTCTGTCATGCTTTCTTGCTTTAAGTGACCTCTGTTAGCTCTCACTGAAGGGTGATTACATGGCCCCTTGAAAGATGAAGCATATAGGAGCATTTGGGTGAGATGCTGTTAGGCCTTTTGCTGTAAACAGTATTTGTAGCCACAGCTTACCTGGAATAGGATGGGGAATATGTGAGTTAGTTTTGAAAAATGATGGACAAAATTACTCTTCAAGGGGTTAGCTGAACTATAAGTGAAGAATTACTCCCCAACCCTTCAAAATTTTTGCAGACTCTATTTAGGATCTGGAAATCAAGTTGTATTGTAATAGGCTTCCAGAACTAGTACTAGCTTTGGTGAACAAAACCTGTCATACCTAGATGTCAAAACAGTTGGTAAGTGACCAGCACCGTTCGCTTCTCCTTGTTAACAATTACATTTGCATACAACCACATTTTCTTTTCATTTAAATCTGCTCACCAAAAATCCTGTTATTAAGTGCTCTTCTCCCTTTGAGATTGTCATGGAAAAGATAATTTATAACATGACTTCTATCAAAGACAGCACATCGTCATCTCTTATGTTGGTTATTTGCAATTCATCAGCATGGTCACATCTGTGACCACACATCTAAAACATATCCTTTGATTCCCACACTTTGTAAGGAAAGCAATTATCCAAGGCTGTTGCTCATCACTTGCAGTATGTGTAAAATGTACCACAAATTACTTTTGAAGTAAAAGAGTGACTTGAATCATAAGCTTTATTTTTATTAAGCTATACTTCTTTCAAACCTAAGCATGAAATATTGCATTTTCATTTCATTAACAAACCACTGCATCCCGCATCCTCCATTGTATGTGCTGCATCATGCTTCAGATTGCCAGATATACTTATGAAGAATTATATGCACTTGTTAATTTCAGCTTGAAGACAAGTATGCTGATTTATTACTCTGCAAAGAATCAGCTGGCTTGCTGTTACTTATGTCTCTTACACATTATGCAGAGCTGATGGAGTTTGTAGCACAACTCAGCAAGTAGGTGTAGGCATTAATGAGAAGGACCATCTCAGTCAGAAAACTGTATAAAGGAAATCAAGTTTGCACAAAAACTCAAAATTGCCCATTGCAAAAGTAAAGTAGCAGCCTAAACGTTTATTATTCTCTAATATATCTGCTATCATTGCATAGTCTTAGTAGCCTGTTTGGAATGTAACATAATTTTCATCAAACATGTAGATAAGAAAAGCACACCTCAGTTTAGTTGATGCAATCATCCACTCAGAATTTCTTGAGATGTGACTGTGTTTATTTTCCCCACTGCTTATCCAATATTTCCTTCTATGTTCCCAGCAATTATCATCTCCCCGGTATCAATCACACCCAACCAATACCCTGCTGTCACAAAAAATCTTGAGCTGTAGCAGCGTCTTGGACTTGTTCTCTGTGACATGCAGTTTGGGATCTGTCTAATGACAGCACATCTCTCTGATGGTTCACTTCTAAACAGCCATGGCTGTGTTTTATACTGATGTGCAACACCTGTGTGCCGCATAGCCATGTGCAAATGACAGCTTTCACTTTGCAATGAATGAAGTGCATTTGTAGGAATGTCAGTACTTAGGGGAAGGCATGACACACTGGGATTTTATCCAGCTTTGTAGACACATACTCCAATTGCACCTTCTAGGTGGGATTGTTCCCATCACTGAGATGCTGTAGCAGGAAATCATGAGCTGGAAGTTTCAGATAACTAGCACTGTTCTTCACACTTCCAGCTAACCATTGCAGATTGTATTGAACTTCATGCTGCAAAGGAGAAGAAATCCTGTAACAGTCTTGTGCATTCCTTCAGTCTTCAGGAATATACAGTGTTTTACCTTTGATGTAGAACGTTTATGCTGTAAGGTACAAACTAAGCTCGTTCTCATATAACAAACCTCTCCTTCCCCTCCTGAGGTAACATTAACTTTGCACTAAGCAAAGATTAATAAATCCAATCCTGCTGAATACTTTTTTTTGGTTGTTTGCATGGACAAGGCAATATTCCTTCAACAACTGGATTTGATGGCCTATTTCTATGCTGCATGGCATTTGTTTAGCATTTTCTATGCTTTTTAAAAAAATAATAAGCTCGTAAATTATTTGAGAAGTAGATATTTACACAACTTTCTTGGCACACTTTTATTAATTTTGCACAGAGTAGAGGAACTGGTTGAATTACAGAAGACTTGGAGAATGTGTGAGTAGTTTTTAACAGGTCATCTTATGAAGCAGTGCTGCAATATCTGCTGTATTTCCAATATATGTTGTCATTGTATAGTCTGTAGTTCGGCAGGCTCTGGCCTGGACAGGTTATTGCCCATATGTGGATTTTGCAGACCTGTAGGGATATTAAAAGAAATGGCAGGGAGTATTTTGCTCAGCAGAAAATAATATGGCTTTTTGATAGAAGTAGCAGATGTGCAAATTTGTACAACAAACAATCTATTTTCAGAGAAATACAAACACTTAAATGAGTGCCACCAGGGAGACTTTCAATAAAATGGAAGGAGACATTGGACTTCTGAAGCTTCCAGGATTTAGCTCAATGGAGTTCCTCATTTCTTGTTGCCCTGGCCTCCCTCCTTGAGGACTTGGAGGAACTTAGGGAGCAGGAATTGAGTAGTTCCAAGCCTGTGTCTGGGTCACAGGAATCAGAGGAAACTAATCCAGAAGCTGCTGTTTTCAGTTATATGGAAAGGAGTGGAGGCAAACTGCTGCTCTCAATGATGTGCTGAAGCACCGTGAAGCACAAGAAAGCCTAAGCCTTCTGTGCCAAAGAAGGTGAAAGGGAGTTGTTTATTATAATCCATTTCCTCTTCAAACTTCCACTCTAGGGCTTAAAAGCCTCTGCAAGTATTCAATGAAGGAAAATGATCTCTGCTCTTGCCTTCTAATCTCCAGGAATGTCTCTCCCCACCTGAACTGCCTGGCCTTCTTTTTCAGAGACTTCTCTGAGAGGTCACCATATGGTTTCCTTTTGTGTTCTTCACTCTTAACTCTTTTGAGACTTGAAGCAATTAATAACAGCATTATCTTCAATGTTCTGGATATCTCAGAGGTGAATCCACTGAGACAGGAACCATACCAAGCTGTTTCAGCTCACCGATCAGTTTCTGTGGTAATGAAGATTTTTGTTTGTGCTGTTTGATTTACTCAGTCATTATGGCAGAACACTCTCATGTGTAGTCTTTGGAAACTCTAGAGATCTTGACTTTTATATGTTGTCTTCTTTCCAAAGGTTTTAAATACTGAGAACTACAGTCCTGCAGAATGTGGATTACTGGATAGGTGCTACATCAGATGTCTGTGTGGCTTTTTACTTTGGAGGCAGAGGCTGGGGCCAGAGGAACTGTGGATTCACAGCGTGTTACAGACATCATGTAAATAAATGAGGAGTAGGCAGATAGAGGATCTGCTGAGAACAGGTTGGTGCCTGTTTACATTTCTGCAGTCAGTTCTAAAACTGGTGGGTACCCAAGCATCTTACAGTACCCAGAAAATAAACTTTGCTGCCCTTTCTGCTAGTTACTCCCAGCAGTGTCTGCAGCTAAAGTGGCATAGCCATGTGTTCAAAACTAGGAGAAAAAAAGACAGTGGCACTGCCCTGTCAAGTCAGTACTATACTTGAACATACCTTGCAATTAGCAGTCTGTCCGATATCCCTCGGGGGCCATTTCAATTACTATTGATGCCATTTTGCAATACATTTCAGAGCATGTTTATATGAACAGTTTAAGCCAGTCTAAGACCATAAAAATATTAAAAGGAGTAGATCTGGTCTCCCCTCTTACTTGCCACTCTCTGTCCCTGCCTTGCCCAGCACTAACAGACACAAGGTCAGCGGGGAGCTGAGTCAGATGCCCAGTCTAGGTGATTTATTTTTTTTAGCAGAGTTGTTTTTCAGCCTTACAGGAACAAGCTAAGCACACTCATATCTTCCTGGTCTTAAACCTGTACCAAGGGGAGCACATGGCCATGGGCAAGAGCAGGGATGGCTGCATTCAGGTTCTGGTTTCAGGTTAGTTTGCACCAATTGCGAGACTGCACCACAGGCCATGGCAAGTCAGTGTTTGCACCCTGCTGCTGGTAACTGCTGCATCTGGAGCGTTCCCTGAACAGCCAAGTAGTAGTATTGTCTCTCTGCCTCTTGTCTGTCTCCTGCAGATGAAGAATCTGAGAAAGAAGGTGAAAACACCATTCACATGCTTTCATTTACTGGCATAGCAGGAAAGCTTTAAAATTTCTACTTAGTTACTGATATAAGCAGGATATATAATTAGGACTTCAGGGGGAGACAACTGAGGTAAATATGAGTACAGGAACTCTCAGTGTCATGGGACACCATTAAGACCTTATTTGATGTGCATTTAAAATATTCTTCAAAGAGTTTTTTTAAAGGAAAAGGTTTTAACAAAATTGCTCCTTTGCTGAGAGGCAGCACAACTGGATCAAATTAAATAAAACCTGAATTTTAAAAGCATCTTGTGATTTGAGATACTGCAGAGAGCCTCTTTAAAAGGTATCTGAGACTAAGCATCCATCAACTGAGGAAATCCATAACACCAGGGGCTTTAGAAAAATCTAAGCTTTCATATTTGAACTATTTCTCCATACAGCTGGAAATCTAATGTAAACAGGGCCTAAGCAACTTGGCCAAAGTAATTTAGGGAATCAAAACTGATGACTGCTAATACAAGCTCAGATTTCTAGCCAAATGCCCAGAATGCTAACATTTGGCTTTACTGTTTTGTGTTTTTCCTTGATTCTCTGCTGTGAGGTGCAGTGGGGGAACAGTAGAGCAGTGATGACTTCTAACATAACACCACTGCCCTGTTTCTGAAGAAGAACCTGTTTTTTTTCTGAAGCTTATGGATACAAGTACAGACCACAATACCATATGAGAAGTCATTTTTGGCTCTCTCTCACTTTAAGAGCCCATTGCACATAGGAGGTTAAGGAGGCTGTGAATAACCTCATTTCTTTTTTGGAGGAGTGACACAGTTGCAGAAGTTGGATGCCAGCATGGCTCTGTTATTAGTTGTGTGTTGCTGTTACATCTGCATACCACAGCCACAGGTCAGCACCTCATTCTGTCAGCGCTCTGCAGACACTGTAGGAAGATGCCAGTTATTGACCTGGAGGTCTGTCTTACTCTTATATTCTGAGAATAAGACAGTTGGATACAGGAAGATGGGATTGTGCAAGATGATAATTATTGATGAGCAAAATATCCAATTCTCATGGTTGCAACATCCCGGGCAGCAGAGAAAATATAGAAAGAGAATTGAAATTTGAATTTGAAAGAGACACGAAGTGGCTTTGTGAATGCTTATGGGAGTGCTGTGCCCAGGTGAATCAAACAAGTAGGAAAAAAAAAAGGGAGAGATAACTTTCCAGATATTTTTTTTTTTCTTTACTTAGCTACCTGCCAAAAGAGTTACTTCCAAACTCTGTTTGTAAGTCTTCTGGGGCTAATATTAACATTTTAGTTTGGACCAGGAGTGAACTTTTGAAGCAAACTTTCTGACTGTCCTCACTTAGAGCACATTGGTTTACACTGCAGACTGGTCACCAAGCACATGAACTGGATCATTCTTGAGTGAAAACTAAATCAGAAATATGTTCCAAATGCTAGTGAAGGGGGTAGATGTACAGAACCAGATAAAAGATAATCTGAAATAATTACCACCCCCGCAAATATATTTAGCGTAGAGTCAAGGTCTTCAAAACCAATCGTTTTACTCTACAGATCCACTCCTATTGCAGGGTACTACTTGCTAGTGGTAGACATAACTTGTTTCTTTGAATTTTTTTTTTTAAAGGAATACAGCTTTTGGATAGACTTTCAAGTGTTTTTTGCTTCTATTTCTGAAGCATGTTCATATCCAATTATCATAGAATCATAGAATCATAGAATAGATTGGGTTGGAAAAGACCTCCAAGATCATCAAGTCCAACCCCTGATCCAACTCCAATTACTATATCATGGCACTAAGGGCCACATCCAATCTCTGCTTAAAAACCTCCAGGGATGGTGAATCCACCACCTCTCTGGGTAGGCTGTTCCAATGCTTGATTACCCTCTCTGTAAAGAATTTCTTCCTAACATCTAACCTAAACCTCCCCTGGCAGAGCTTGAGCCCATGTCCCCTTGTCCTATTGTTGGTTGCCTGGGAGAAGAGACCAACCCCCACCTGGCTATAACCTCCCTTCAGGTAGTTGAAGAGAGTGATGAGGTCACCTCTAAGCCTTCTCTTCTCCAGACTAAACAACCCCAGCTCCCTCACCCTCTCCTCATAGGACTTGTGCTCAAGTCCCTTCACCAGCCTCGTTGCTCTTCTCTGGACCCGCTCCAGCAGCTCAATGT